TTCCTGCTACTGTCTTCCAGTTGCTCCGCTCTGCTGCTGACTGGTCTGCTGGAATAAAATACCATGAGGAATCCATCCACGCGGCGTACGTCCACGTGATAGAGAACAGCAAACACTATATCTACATCGAAGTGAGTCCTGCTTGTGTACATTCGTGTGTGAAACTTCCTTTCGTGACAATCACACAGGGACTTAGGGTCCCCAGACGACCTGCTATCTTAGACGTGGGTGTTGAGGCGTGAGAAGCACTGGAGAAGGCCTCGTGCCTGCAGAATTTTGACCTTTCCTCCTCCTCATGACCTCATGACTCAGGACAGTCTTTCAAATCCTTGCTGCTAAAATGCACCCACTCACTATGGTACTGTTCGGCAGAAATACCCCAGCGTTTGATTTGGCTTGAATGAGAGGATTTCTGTGTGAGGCATGTGCTATTTCAGGACTATGCACCCAGAGGGAGGTTGCTAAAAGAAAGACCCCAGGGTGCCCTTGTTTGGGGGTGTTGGGATTGGGAAAGTGGAGGGGAAAGAACATGGAAAGGGAGGTACAGGGTGTAAGAGGCACACACCATCTGTTTCGATGCTCCGTGAACTATCACACTTACTGTTCACCCAAACTTTTCCAGATCCCAGAGACTGGGTTCAGAGTATGGGAGAAGATTTGGAAACCCTGAGTTTAGTTTGGGAACTTGAATCACACTTCCAAATAGATACAAAAATAGCTCAGGGCACTTGAAAGACCCTGAGAAAAGAAGAAGTCACAATAACGGAAAAATAAATCAGAGGCTCTCTCCATTATTCTAGCCTTTTCTTTCCCGCTGAATTTTGTTTCAAGATGTTTTTGCTATAGGGCACGTGTGCTTGCCAGAGAGACAAAATGAGAAATCACCCCCAGAGGGGATGGCCACACCACAATCCCTTTTCCATTCTCCTCTTGGGATCTTGGGCACGCACACACACCCGGCATGAGGTTTAAGCCACCGGGTCTGAGACTTGAACTGCAGTCGACTATGTGAGAGTCCAGCGACATAGCCAACCGCTGGTCCCTGAATTTTTAAAAATGTATGGGGTGGAGAGGGGATGGGTTAGCTAGTGAAACCATGATAGCCTGATTTTCCTTCTCTTTGAGTCCTGGCCCAAACCGTTCCATGCAGTGAGAATTTATTAAAGATGAGTAGGGAAGAACGAGATCTTGTTCATTTCACAGAGCTAGAGAAAAAAAAGGCTGATTAAAAATATTAGCAAGAAAAATTCAGTGTGGTGTCCAGGATGGGATCATGCAATAGAAGAAGGTCATTAATGGAAAATTTAGTGAACTCTGCCTCAAGTCTAGAATTTAGGAACATTACTCATGTTATTAATTTTGATACTTTTACCATAGTAATGTAAGGCTGGCTCACCGATGATTCAGGCTGTGACCCCGAATCATTCTATTTTATTTCTTTTTAGTAGATTTGGTATCAGATTTATTTTGATTTTTTCCTACCATGGAGTGAAGTGAGGTCAGTAATGCCATGTAGGTATAATGGTTTTGGACGTAGACCTGTCTATGCTCTTCCTGCTAAGATAAGCAGTCAGCATCCCCTCCAGACAAAGGAGGAATAAAAGGCATGGCGTATGTCTAGTCTGTGTTTACAGCTGCCAAGGAATGCTAAACTTTGTAGGATGAATTCAGAAAATCATACACAGTTTGGTTGACACTGAGATGTTGACTCTTCAGTGCCCTAAGGAGGAGCATATTCTCAAATAAGTTCTCTCACAATGTCTTCCTGCACATTCGTGTTCTGGAGGCACTGTATAGATTTGTGAATTGAAGTATAAAAAGACCTGCAGAGTTATGAAGATGATCATGCTCACAGGTGTGACAGTCCCACTTCGAGTTGTTGCTTAGGAATCTCTTCACCTCGAGATGACTAGCAAATGTTACTTTGTGATGAGTATATGTCTAAGTCACATGAGGGGCCATTAAAAAGGTGCTGAAAAATGCATGTTATGAAAAAGTCATGTATGGGTTTCAAATTATTATTTGCACCAAAATAAGTACATATATTACTTTCATTTTTCCATAACTGTAAAAAACATGTATCCGCTTATTTTTTTCATGAGTGAGACACAGAGAGATACAGGGAGGAAGAGAGAGAAAGAGCACCCCCAACAGGACCCCAACACTGCCCACTCCCAGTTTCAGCCAGCCCCAGACCATGGGTAAATGGGTGCCTGGTGCCAGGGAGGTCCCCAGTTACAAACTCAGAGCCCTCCCACGTGGGCCACCTTGAAGAGCAGTGCTCTGCACCACTATGCCATGTCTGGCTCCTTTTCACAGACTTTTTAAAGTCCCCTCAAGGTTGCATTACAGTGATCGAATTCCACTTGAACATGTAATATTCATACGATTCCTTCTTAATTGTTAACATTCTTTTTGCAGCAACAACATCTTGTACTCTATTATGATGCTGTACACTAGTTTTCTGGTAACTGTTTTGAAGACTGTTTATAGATACATGAGTAGCCAACGTACTTAGAGAAAAGAGAAATAAAGTTATTTCATTTCCTATTTTATTAGCTTATTTTTATATATATGACATGCTTACAAAAGAGATTTGAGGCTACCTACCTAGATGTTCAGACACAATAAGAGACCTGAGCAAATGAGAGGAGGAAGCAGCAGAGACATCAGACCAGGCGTCGGCCCTCCACCCCGTTACGTCAGTAAACTTAACATGGAATAGAACGTCTGCCCGACATGGAAATTTTAATCAGAAGCATTTACACAATGTGTGAATCTGGGGGGAATAAAAACACTTCGATTTTCTCTGTTGATTCAATTTAGAATGTTTCTAGTGATTTAAGAAGGTAATATGGAAAATCACCTTCAAGGAACCCCTGTGGTGAGATGACACTGGAGCCTTCCTGTTGACTGAGATGTTGAGTGACATGCACGGGACCTGGCCTGGCCCGAGCGGAGGCTTCTTTTGTCCTGTGTCATTTACTTTCCTGATGTAACTGTAGCGATCTGAACACGTCTACTGCGTGAAAACAATTTAGATGTCAATATAGCTTTTATTCACCACGTTTCCCTCACCTTCGGAATACTAAGACAAGGACTCACAGGGCTTCCTGGTTTCTTTCTCGTAGAACCAGTTTTTTATAAGCTGTGCTGACGACAAAGTTGTGTTCAACAAAGTTGGCGACACCATTGCCCAGAGGATACTGAAAGCTTACAGGTAACGTCCTCGCCCTTTCAGTAGGAGTTGTTACTGCGATATTCTTGAACTTACTACTAAAACGACTCTTGAAAGCCCTTTTTAAAAGCATCATCCTTTCCTAGTGGGCTTGGGTTTAGTGTAGTTCAGCCAGTGTTAGCCAGTTACTTTCATGTGAGTCAACGGCTAAGAATGTTTCAGTCCATTTTTGGGGGAATCTGAATCCTTCTAAAACACAATCATTTTTTCCTGGCCAGTCTGAGGCTTGTGATTTGATTTATTTAATGACAGACAGTGAGCTGTGCTTTCTTTAAAAATAAAGCAAAATTGACACAATATTTTGCCTTGGTTATTTATAAATTCTTGTTAACATCTTATTTCTTCAGCTCGTGCGATTATGCCTTAAATATCTGTATTATTGAGACATAATTTACATACTGTGCAATCCACAAACTTACACTGTGCATGTAAGTAATTTTTAGTATATTCACAGAGCTTTGTAATGATCACCAAATCCATTTTAAAATGTTTTCATCACCCCATGCTCATTCACAGTTCCTCATTTTCTCCTTCCCGTGGTTTCTGGCAGCCACTGACTGGCTGTCCTTCCCGGTAGGTGTGTCTGATCTGGACAGTATGTATGTGGTCTTTTGTGATGGCATCTTCTTTCACGTAACATAATGTTCTTAAGATTCCTCTCCATATAGCACGTATCAGTATTTCATTTCTCTTCATTGCCAGGTGGCATTCCATTACTGTATGGATATACCACGATGTGTTTATCCACTCATCGGTTCGTAGACAGTTGAGTTGTTCCTACGATGGGGCTATGATGAATAATGCTGCTGTAAATATCCGCACTAGCTTTTGTGCAGACATACATGTTTTCATTTCCCTTTGGGGTGACATTACTGGGTCCTATGATCATTTCACGTTGAACATTTTGAGTTCTGCCGGCCTTCCAGAGCAGCTATCCCATTCTACATTCACACCAAGTATGAGAAGTCCAGCTTCTCTATCTCATTCCTAATACATCCTGCCTGCGTCTCGATGGTGGTCATCCCAGTAAATATAAAATGTACCTCTCGGTGTTTTTAGCTTGAATTTCTCTAATGACTCATGATATCAGGCATCTTTTTGTACACTTGCTGGCCATTCGTGTGGAGAAAATAGTTTAGTCAAATTTCTTCCCCATTTTTTAGTGGATTATTTGACTTTTTGTTGTTGAGTTATAAGATTTCTTTCCCATATCAGATATATTTGACTTGCAGATATGTTCTCCCATAAATGAGTTGTCTTTACTTTCTTGATGGTGTCCTTTGAAATAAAAGTCCTGGCTATCTAGTTTTTTTCTTTCATCATTTGTGCTTTTGGTGTCCTAGAAACCAATGCCTGATTCAGAATCATGAAAAATTTATGCATAGTTTATTCTTAGAATTTGTAGTTTTTGCTCTTACATTTAGGTCTTTGATTTATTGTTATTTATATAATATATAATATTATACATATATATGTATATATGTATAATATATATATTTGGTGTGAGTTAGGGGCTCAATTTCATTCTTTTGCATGTGGATTTAGAGTTATCCCAGCACTATTTGTTGAAAAACTGGTCCTTTCCCTCGGAATTGTCCTTGGCATCTAGGACTTTTTCTTTTTATGCATGACTACAACTCTATTTAAAAGTAGCAAAGTAAGCCAACACAATTATAATATTTCATTATTTCCTGTCATTGAATACATGCAGTCAAGATTAAGTACATACACATTTGGGAATTAAAATATGTTTTGACTTCAGTGTTATTTGACATCATTCTTTTCTATACTATGTTGATATTATTAGACTTCAGAACATGTTATAGCAGTGACCATTAGTGTTTCATATGATTCTTACTTTGTAACTACAGTACCTAACTGAGCCGTCACTCTACTCTTGAAAGTAGGACATCCAGTTGTTATTGGCATTATTGTTGTTATGGAACCTGCTTTCAGAATTAAGAACTGATATTCAAGAAGTTGTGTGACTTATCTAGGTCACTAAAAGCAATAGGCAAAAGTTTCTGGACTTCTGACCCAGTACCTCCCCCTCTACCACACAAATCCAATTCATGATGGTGAGAATTAATGGCCCATTCAGGGTTCACCCATTCTGAGACAATTAGATTGGGCTTTTGTTGTTCTCTCCCCACATTGATCAGTCATTGATGCAGGTGGACTTCAGGGAGAAGGGACAAAAGGTAGTGAAGTAGATCCCTTTGGCCAATGGAAGAAACTATCTGGAGAAAGATTTTACTATGAATGGTCAACAACCAACACTCTCAGCTTCTGAGGGGAGAGCTGTCTTAATCCCCTCATCCTGCAGGCATACAATGATGTGTGCTCATTCTTGACCTCACATCCGAGTCACCATTGGGCCTTGATAGAATTACAGAGAGCATGACTCAATTCCGAGCTTACTGGATCGAAATTTCCTGGAGTGGGGCCCAGGGACCTGTATTCTATAATGTTCCGAAGAGGACTCCAGGGTACAGCTAAGATTCCTTAATGCTCACCTAGAACATAGTATATGACCATAAATATTAATGATGTTCTGTGCTTTGATAGGTGATACTCTCTTTTTTTAAGAGACATTTTTGCTATAGGGTGCATGTACTCTCTGGAGAGACAGACAGAAACAGAGAGAGAGAGAGAGAGAGAGATAAAAAGCAAGAAATGACCCCCCTCCTGGGGGGATGGCCATGCTGCATTTCTCCATTCTCCTCTTGGGATTTGGGGCACAGATGCACACACACCCAACATGACTTTCACATCATTGGCTGCAGGACTTGATCCATGGTCACCTTTGTGAGCATCCAGAGTCATAACCATTACACCATCTGCTGGTCCCTAAGGATGATCATTATCCTTCGTCTTCTAATGTACTTTTAAAAAGAGAGTCCCAGTAGAATCTGTTTCTGATGACGTAAACACAGCCTTGTTTACAGTTAAACCTGCTTGTACACACAGATAGCTCTTGCATCCTTACTAGGCTCCCAATTCTACGAGGTAATTTCTGTCCACTTTGCCACATCCCATTAGCTCCCTATCAAATGCTGCATTTCATTGACACAGGCTTTATCTCTGAAGCACATTTGGCAAAAGAGAAAAATAATTTTTTCATGAAATTGAAGGAAGTCATGGAAATACATTACGTTGACACGTGCTCCCCTGGCTGAGAGAGCTGTGACTGACTACTAGAGGGGACTGAACCTCAACCTCACTCGTCTCGGTTACTAGTTTCTCACAGTACCTGGAGAAGTATCTATGATGCTTGTTTTTTAAGGGTTTCAGAGTCCGAAAGAATATTTTCCTTTACCATATTAATTTGATTTTTAAAATCTAGTCTTCTGGGACCAGCAGATGATGTAATGGTTGTACCACTGGATTCTCACATAGTCAACAGTGGTTCAAGTCCTGGACCCAGCAGCTTAAAACTCATACCAGGCGTATGTGCCTGCCCAAAAATCCCAAGAGGAGAATGGAGGAGAAGGGATTGCGGTGTGGCCATCCCCAGGGGTGATTTCTTGCTTTCTGCCTCTCTGTCTCTCTGACAAGTGCACATACCCTATAGCAAAAAAAAATCTCTTAAGAAAGAAAATCAGTCTTCTAAAATAGAAGGGGTGGAAGGAAGTTTGTGATATTTTCTGACTGAACATTTTCCAGTGATCCTGTGAGCTGCTACTGAAAGGAAAAGGGTTGTGTGACGAGGGGATGGACAGGTAACATCTGTTGTGGGTTCCCTCTGATGCTTGGAGGTCCACAGCACATTAAAAGACTTGGGCAATTCCAAGCTTACTTTGTAGAAAACGGGAAATGGGTCCATTGAATTAACTGTGCGTCATTTAGTTCTGATTTCTCAAGAGTCTCACTTACTTTGACTGTTAATTTCAAAATGGTACTTAGATCACACTTTCAGACTTTCAGTGCACACACACACACACACACACACACACACACCCGGATACACATGTTACAATTTCCCCTTTTCCGTATCTCTACATTATTGTTTATCTCCTATATGAGTTGTGGCTATAAAATATATTTTTCCCACATAATTTCATGTCTGAGGATCAGCTCCTTACCCCAGTGGTTAAGGAAGCTGGGTCCCACATGGGGGGACCAAACTGTGGGGACCTAACTGGGTCAACCATGCAGTTTGAGTCTCAGACCTGGCAGCTTGAAAATCACACCAGGTGCTTGTGCATGCATGTGCAAGACCCTAACAGGAGGGAGAAATGGAGGAGAAAGATTGCAGCGTTACTGTGTTCCATGGGGATGCTTTCTCCCTCTTCTCCTCTCTCTCCCTCTTCCCTTCTCTCTCTCTCTCTCTAGAAAGCGTGCATGCCCTCTGGCAACATCTAAAAAGTAATCATGATTTTGGATGTGTAGGTGTCTATTCTGATGTCAGGGAAGGGCAGGATTAAAAGCTCATCTTGCAGGCTTCCGGGAGTGGGAGCCCTCCTCTCACTAATTAAGGACCATGCTGCACTGTCCTCAGTCTGACTCCTCTCTTCCTTCCCAGATTTCTCGTTTCTCTCCACTTCTGAGAGGTGGAACTTCCCTGCCAAAGTCACATTCTTAGCACGTAGTATCATCTCGGGTGTTGGATAAAGACTGAAGTACAGCACAAAGCAGATGGAGGGAAATGACAGCCGTCGGCCAGGCCTGACCAAGGAACACAGGCGCTCTTCCAGGTCCCTCCATCCCTGGAGAGATCGGAATCTTCAAATTGCCAACTCCCTCGACTGGGCTGTCTTTATTTTCCTGCCAGTGCTGGATTCCAGCCCCACACCAATTCCCCTAAGCAATTTCTTTGCTCCCTCACTTCCTTCTAGTGGCTTCTTAACAGCCATAGTTCTTACATAAGCAAGTGTGGCATAGCCTCCATGTTCTGATCCCTGACCTCACGCCTCAGACTAGTGTTCACCCCATGCTGAACCCGGAGCATTGCGGAAACTGCTCCCGCAGCAGCATGTCTG